ATGCCACTCTACAGCTTAGCTACGATGCGAGTAATATCTCATTGTCTGAAAACATCTAGCCTAGAACTCTACCCAGCCCTACACTCGTCGTATGCCACTCTACAGCCTAGCTACGATGCTAGTAATATCTCATTGTCTGAAAACATCTAGCCTAGAACTCTACCCAGCCCTACACTCGTCGTATGCCACTCTACAGCTTAGCTACGATGCGAGTAATATCTCATTGTCTGAAAACATCTAGCCTAGAACTCTACCCAGCCCTACACTCATCGTATGCCACTCTACAGCTCAGCTACGATGCGAGTAATATTTCATTATCTGAAAACATCTAGCCTAGAACCCTACCCAGCCCTACATTGTCGTATGCCACTTTACAGCTTAGCTACGATGCGAGTAATATCTCATTGCCTGAAAACATCGAGCCTAGAACCCTACCCAGCCCTACACTCGTCGTATGCCACTCTACAGCTTAGCTACGATGCGAGTAATATCTCATTATCTGAAAACATCTAGCCTAGAACCCTACCCAGCCCTACACTCGTCGTATGCCACTCTACAGCTTAGCTACAATGCGAGTAATATCTCATTGTCTGAAAACATCTAGCCTAGAACTCTACCCAGCCCTACACTCGTCGTATGCCACTCTACAGCTTAGCTACGATGCGAGTAATATCTCATTGTCTGAAAACATCTAGCCTAGAACTCTACCCAGCCCTACACTCGCTGTATGCCACTCTACAGCCTAGCTACGATGCGAGTAATATCTCATTATCTGAAAACATCTAGCCTAGAACTCTACCCAGCCCTACACTCGTCGTATGCCACTCTACAGCTTAGCTACGATGCGAGTAATATCTCATTATCTGAAAACATCTAGCCTAGAACCCTACCCAGCCCTACACTCGTCGTATGCCACTCTACAGCTTAGCTATGATGCGAGTAATATCTCATTGCCTGAAAACATCGAGCCTAGAACCCTACCCAGCCCTACACTCATCGTATGCCACTCTACAGCTTAGCTATGATGCGAGTAATATCTCATTATCTGAAAACATCTAGCCTAGAACCCTACCCAGCCCTACACTCGTCGTATGCCACTCTACAGCTTAGCTACGATGCGAGTAATATCTCATTGTCTGAAAACATCTAGCCTAGAACTCTACCCAGACCTACACTCGTCGTATGCCACTCTACAGCCTAGCTACGATGCTAGTAATATCTCATTGTCCGAAAAAATCTAGCCTAGAACTCTACCCAGCCCTACACTCGTCGTATGCCACTCTACAGCCTAGCTACGATGTTAGTAATATCTCATTGTCTGAAAACATCTAGCCTAGAACTCTATCCAGCCCTACACTCGTCGTATGCAACTCTACAGCCTAGCTACGATGCTAGTAATATCTCATTGTCTGAAAACATCTAGCCTAGAACTCTACCCAGCCCTACACTCGTCGTATGCCACTCTACAGCTTAGCTACGATGCGAGTAATATCTCATTATCTGAAAACATCTAGCCTAGAACTCTACCCAGCCCTACACTCGCTGTATGCCACTCTACAGCCTAGCTATGATGCGAGTAATATCTCATTATCTGAAAACATCTAGCCTAGAACTCTACCCAGCCCTACACTCGTCGTATGCCACTCTACAGCTTAGCTACGATGCGAGTAATATCTCATTGCCTGAAAACATCGAGCCTAGAACCCTACCCAGCCCTACACTCATCGTATGCCACTC